TATGACTGAGTCATGTTTAAACCGTTGGGTGTGAACCGTTTCATGTTGGAGACATCCTTAAAGATAATTCATGTTTTTCAGACTAATTATATGTCATGCTTTCCATATCTTTCCATGCTGGTGTGACGTGCCCTGGAGGAGAGCAAGGAGGCGCAGGCAAGCGGCCGCAAAAGCCGCAGAGGCCGCAGCCGCCACCGCAAGGACCAAAGGAGAAGAAAGGAGCGCAAACAGCGCAAGGAGCGCAAGGAGCGCAGGGGGGAGCGCCGGGGGGAGCGCAGGGGCGAGCGCAAGGAGCGCAAGGAGCGCAGAGAGCGCAGTCAGCGCAAGGAGCGGCGCAAGGCCTCAGAGCCGCAGCCGGCCCAAGGGCCACAACAGCAGGCCCAAGCGCCCCAGCCGGCCCAACCGGGCCAACCGCCCCAGCCGGCCCAACAACCGGCGGCCCAAGCGCCCCAGCCGGCCCAAGAGACACAACCGGGCCAACCGCCCCAGCCGGCCCAACAACCGGCCCAAGCGCCCCAGCCGGCCCAAGAGCCACAGCAGGCCCAAGAGCCACAGCAGGCCCAAGAGCCACAGCCGGCCCAAGAGCCACAACCGGGCCAACCGCCCCAGCCGGCCCAACAGCCACAACCGGGCCAACCGGGCCAACCGGGCCAACCGCCCCAGCCGGCCCAAGAGCCACAGCAAGCCCAAGAGCCACAGCAGGCCCAAGAGCCACAGCCGGCCCAAGGGCCACAGCCGCAAGGGCCACAGCCGGAACCGGCCACAAAGCAGGAGCTGCCGGCCCAGGCAATGGCTGGGGCCACACCGCAGCCGCTGAGCGACTACGAGTCGGACTCGGACCTCCTGTCAAGCTCAGAGGGCGAGCCGACAGAGGTGGCAAGCTCAGACGAGTCAGAGCGAGCAGCTGCCAAGCCAAGCAAAAAAGCCAGGCGCCAGCCAGCAGCAGCAGCCAGGCCGGCAGGCACAGCCCCGGAAGGCACCCTGCCACCCACGGGCACAGCCCCACAGCCAGGCACAGCCCTGCCACCCACGGTGGGCACAGCCCCACCGGCAGCAGCAGCGGCCCCACAGCCAGCAGTGCTGGCAGGCACAACCCTGCCACCCACGGCAGCCGGGCAGGCACAGCCCCGCCACCCACGCCAGTGGCCCCACAGCCAGCAGCGCCGGCAGGCACAGCCCCGCCAGGCACAGCCCCGCCAGGCACAGCCCCGCCCACGCCAGTGGCCCCACAGCCAGCGCCCACACCTCTGACAGCAGCAGCCCCACAACAAGCAGCAGCAGCGCCACCGCCAGCAGGAACCCTGCCACCCACGGCCTCACCAATGCCGGTCCTCTGGCCACTGGCTTTTCAGATCGCCATGGCAACCCTCTCCATTCTGGAGCAAGCTGTTGCACCGCCGGCGTGGCCCCAGCCTGCCAACACAGCAGCAGCAGCAGCTACCACCGCGGCGCACCATCCCCCAACGCATGCCCAACATCCCCATCATCAGCCCCAGGCACACCAGCCACTTCAGGAGCATCAGCTCCACCAGCCCAGCACCACCCAGCATCACGCACCACCACCCGGAGAACAGCATCACCCAGCACAGCATCACCCAGCACAGCAGCACCCGGCAGAGCAGCCCCCGGCACTGGCACAGCATCACCCAGCACAGCATCACCCTGCACAGCAGCACCCGGCAGAGCAGCCCCCGGCACTGGCACAGCATCACCCAGCACAGCATCGCCCTGCACAGCAGCACCCGGCAGAGCAGCCCCCGGCACTGGCGCACCCAGCACAGCATCACCCGGCACAGCATCACCCGGCACAGCATCACCCGGCAGAGCAGCCCCTGGCAGAGCAGCCCCTGGCAGAGCAGCCCCTGGCAGAGCAGCCCCCGGCACTGGCGCGCCCAGCATCGCATCACCCGGCGCAGCAGCCGGCACAGCAGCCCCCGGCACTGGCACACCCAGCGCAGCATCACCCGGCGCAGCAGCGCCCGGCACCCCCGGCACCCCCGGCACAGCCCCCGGCACAGCGGCCCCCGGACCAACATCCAGCGCATCATGAAGCCCAACATTTGCAGCAGCAGCATCAGCCACAGCCGCAACATCGGCGGCCAGTGCCCCAACCCTCTCCGGCGCAGCCTGCGCAGCAGCATCAGCCAGCAGCGCCCCCGCCGAAACATGCACACCCGGCGCAGCCCGCGCGGCGGCATCAGCCCCCGACGCAACCCCGGCATCAACACCCGGCGCCAGCCCCGGGGCATCCCTTGGTGCAGCATCAGCTCCCAGCGCAGCCCCCGCCGCAGCATCAGCACGCGGCGCAGCCCCCGCCGAAGCATCCACACCCGGCACCCCCTGCGGTGCATCCCTCGGCGGTGCATCCCTCGGCGGTGCATCCCTCGGTGCCGCATCAGCACCCGGCGCAGCACCCGGCGCAGCCAAGGCCGCAGCATCAGCCGGCAAACCCGGCACCCCGCCCGCCGCAGCCTCGCCTCCCAGCACACCCGGCGCAGCCCCCGGCGCAGCCCCCGGCGCACCGTCAGCCACGACCCAGGCCGCCCCAGCAGCCACCACATGGTAAGCCCTTCCTCACACCGCGGCCGCCGTCAACACCACCGCCTGCAGCGCCGGTGCATGTGCCCCCACGGCCCAACATGCCCGACACAAGGTCTGCCCCGCGCACGGCGGCGGCACTGCGAGGGCCGCCGCAGGGCAGGATTCCGGCTAAGGCGCGGCCGCCAGCCGATGCCAAGGCGGCCAAGGCGGCCAAGGCGGCCAAGGCGGCAAAGACGCCGAAGATCAAGACAAAGGCCAGGCCCAAAGAAAGCAAAGCCAAAAGGAGGAGCGTGTATGAGTCGCCCTCGGTCTCAACCGATGTGGAAGAGGTGGAGGTGGAGGAAGGACCCGGGTGACAAACTGTGTTGCTAAGAATCGAATAGTTGCCACTAAGAGAAACTAAATTGAAAGATGGCTTTATTAGTCCAAACTCCCTGTCATAGGTCTGGGCGGTTTTTGCATAGTTGTCTTTAGCTCATCAACGTGTTCTTCCATTTAGTTTGGGCCCCTTGGAAAACATGTCCATAGATTCCCTTTAAAACCAAGAGGGAAAAGTAGAAAACTATTCTTAAGATAATGGATGTGTTTGGCTGACCCTATGAGACTTCATGAGAACTTGACATCGCCCTCCATGAACCAATGAAAATTAAATGACCACTTTGAGACGTTTGCGCCGACCAGGAGCTCGCTGAGATGGCCTTTTCTTCTACATAGGGCGCGGCGACATGCAGGGCAGCTACACGGAGCAACACACTCACAAACAACATCTAGCCATAAAGCCACAACACAACAATCCAATCCGCACCTGCCCGCACATGACCCCTTCCATGCAAACACGGCCCCACACACACACACAGCACGCATAAGCAGCTTGTCGCCGTGTCTCACCCAATCGCCTGAATAAACAGGCCTTGTGAAAAGGAAAAATCATAGGGCGCGGCTGTGGCAGGGTGTCCCCCAAACTGCGGAAGCATGTTCTTGGATACCCACCTTGCCAGTAATACCCCCCCCCTGAAACAAAAACTACCCCTCATCATGATGAGTTAGGGGGCACTATTATCAATGTCCCGTTTTGAAGATGAGATTGAAAACATCATATTTGTGTAAAACAACTTGCTACATCTTGGAAAGGGAGTGTTGGCAACAGTGTTGGTGCTTGTTTCAACTGGTTGATCCATCCCCCTTTTGCTTCCCTCCACACTTGCCCCTCGCTCGTTGCCTGCAGGCCATCGGCCCAGCGCCAATGGCGCAGCCGCCGCGCAGCCGCCGCGGCCGACAGCGCGGGCAAAAGCGGAAAAGGGAGTGGAAAAGGGGTTTAATTAGGTGGGCTGTTCCTTAAAGTTTCAACTCCTTGCTTAACTAAGAATTTCGGGGATGGGGGGTTGCTGGGTCATGGATTGTGAGAATGCAACCACCCAGAAACTAATAGACTTGTTGTTTGATATTGTTTCCAAGCTCTCTTTGGTTTCTTCTTTTTGAGAATTTACAAGTTGAAGTGACGGGAAAACTTGAAGTACATAATTCAACCACTCAGTGAGGCCTGTCAGGCAACAATATCCATATTGCTGCCAGAACACAACATGTTGTGACACCAAGTATTGAACAATTTGAGCCAAATCCACAGCTCCATATTCGCACACACACACAACATGACACCAGGCAATCTATACCTTAGCCTTGCTTTGCCTTGTTTTTGGACTGCTACTTCCTTTTGAGAGCACTGCCACTTGCACAGACACAAGCTTATGGGTTATCGCCCCAAAATGTTCGGACTTTCCTATTGCACCCTGGGATTTCCCCCTTGGGAAATACCAAAAACATATTTCAAATTAACAAGAATAACCTACCTGAAGTCTGCACGACCCTGTAAAAATGGTTGGTTACTCAAAATTAAGGGGTTTTGACCCCTTTTTCTATGGGTCAAAAGGAGACTCTAGGTAGCCTAGGTCCTCCAGTAGAGAGGTTAGAATAAGGGTACCCCTTCTTTCTGTAGTCTATTTTCGTAGGGGGTTCCCCTCCCAACCAAAAAAGGGTTACTAGGGGCACTACTGGGGGACCTAGTCTAGCCTAGTAAGGTTGATTCCCAGGCGCAATCCCAGGGTGTGATGGGAAAACCCTTGGCTTCATGGGTAGTGAACACCCCCTATTAATAAACCCTGTTTATTAATATGGGGATGTCCCTGGTTTTGGTGGGGATTCTTCACTTTTGGAGCGGAGCATCCACCTATTAATAGATTGGGGTTGACTAATAGGGGGTCAACCTTACCACTTAAAACTCCAAGCCCTGGGGAAGTTAATCTTTTACAGACATATAGCCCATGTTACCCAAAAAGTTGAAAAGTTGTGTTTTTAAGAGGTAAGAAACATTAAACGGTAAAAGGTCACCTAGCTGGGGGACCTAGTCTAAGGGTGATTCCCAGGCGTCGGGTGTAACCCTTGGCTTCTGCTGCTCTCTTCGCCTCTGCCCTCTGCTGCTCGAGAAGCGACAGGGTGGTCTCCGCCTATCCGGGGCATCTCCGTTAGTTTCGCTGAATCGCTTACCCAGAGGGTCCAAGTACCTTATATATTTGCGGATTTAAAAAATCTACAAATGATAAATATCCTTGAACCAAACTCAAGACCTCAAATATGGGGTACTTGGACCCTCTGGGTTACGGTCATTTGCTGTGAAGCCCCCAAATTACAAAATATGTCCAGTAGTCATAGATTCCCTTTAAAACCAACAGCGGGAACAAAAAAGATCTAAAACAAATGGAAGCTTGGGGGCTCACTGGGCTGTCCGTTTGCTGATCCCCTGTTAAAAGTAATGGACACCCAACCGCTAAACCCTAAAAACCCAAAAAGCCAAAAGGATGGCTGGGGACCACCAGGAATATAGCCACCATAATTTACCGTTCAGGAGTCACTCATCATCCAAATTGGGTCAACCGTTCTTTTAATGGGGGTTGAACTCTACACAAATTACTTGGAGAAGTGAGACCCCGGTTGCAACGAGTGACCGTTGCATCTGTTTGGTCTCCATTTTGCCAGTTGCAACCAGCAGCGGGAGAACAAACATAGAACGCGTTCTGGGTTGATCTCACAACGTGGGCAATAAACACTCAGCGAAACTGGGCTGTCCGTTCTCAGATCCCCTGCCACAAGTGTTTAGCTTGTGGGGTGAATGGAAACCCAGCCAAACCCGGAACAAAGCCAAACAACACCTGAGCGACCAATTTTAAACAACTACAAACCTAAGGAAGGGGATTTCTGTTTTTCCGAACCAAGAAAGGGGAGTGAAATCCTAGCTGGGCCAGGTTCAGTTCCACACGCCAGGAGTGGGCCCGAAGGGCTGGAAGACTAGGTCCTCCAGAGAGCTTAGAAGAAGTCGGTAACCGATTTTTTCCTGGTTGTTTGTTTCCCGGTGTGTTCCCCCTTGTTTTTCTCTTTCTTTTTTTTCCGTTTGTTTTGCTCTTCTTCTTTTTCTTGTTCTTTTTCTGTAGTCTTAGTCTGTTTTTGTAGGGGAACCCTCCCCAACAAAAAGGTAAAAGGGCACGACTGACCTAGAAGAAGTCCCCCCCCTGGTTTTGAGTAAATGAACATGATGGTCTGGAGCAATCCTCGAAGTCTCAATTGTGCCAATATTCAACACAGTGATTCCACTTAGCTGTATAGCAGGGAACCAAGAAGCAGCCTTTAAGAAGCCAAAAGGAAAATGGTGAAGGGTTCCCTACTGTAGAGGTAACTGGGATCCACTGGGAAGGTTTAAACGGAAAAAAGGCATTAAAGCACGAACACGGTAACGGCAACACGAAACTGAAATGTTGAAGGACCCATGAATAAGACTAACTAAGCATTTGTCCCAATAATCACTATGCTCGCTTTTAAAACTCCAAATTCCACCCAAAAAAGACCTCTCGGGGGCGTGGAAAAGGCAAACTTAATTACCTGTATGCTTATTTCCGCACAAATACAAACATGGGATACTTGACACCCAGCCGTTTAAAAACAACCTTCACACCAGTTCTTCTTCCAGAAGCAAGCAACCTGGGTTGTCATTCAAACATGCCATGATTGACAGATCAGAACCAACGTTAAACCAAAAACAAGAAAACCTTCGTACAGATTAACCTGGAACCAAACAAAAAACACCCATGTGTAGAAAAAAACTCATTTTTGCCCTGCTCTCAAGAAAAAAAACAGAACAGAACCAAGTTCCCTCCAGACAGACACGTGTAAGAAGACCATCCAGTCGTGTAACGGCCGGGACTGCCACCCGAGAGCCGAACGCCGATCGATTTGCCTCGCGGCGGTGCTGAAAGTGGAGCCTCGCCTGAGAGATTCTCAGGAGTTGCCACTGGCCGATACTTGGTGGATATATACCTGGAGTCTCCACGACCCTGTAAAAATGGGGGGTCATTTCTAAAAAGTAAGAGGTTATGACCCCTTTTTGGTCATGAAGACTCTAGGTATGCCCTTTATATGGTGGTTGAATAGTCTGGGTGAATTATACTAGCTTCCCTGCTAAAAGTTTAAGCTTTCAGTTGTGTACTGGAACACCCAGTGGTTCGCAAAAAGCTAAAGTCCTCACATCCAAGCAAAATGCACCAAAGGGAATAAGGTGGGTATATAGTCTGGGTGAATTATAATATTTCTCCAACCTGGAATAAGGTGGTTGGGTGCTATTCCCCGCATAAACCACCATTTGTGGTGAGGTCGTGTGAGGTCTGTGGATGTGGATCAAAGTCAGAGTGGTAGCTAGGGAAACAACTGATTCCATTCGATTTTGATAGCACCGAGAAATTAAAATAACCAGACCGATGTTTATCTTGCTAAGGTGGCTTCCACTATCCCCAAACCACTACCCAGGGGTTGAATTGACCATATAGTTGGTATAAATCCACCATGGCAAGGGTATATATTTCAAATGAACCCACGGTAGAATCTTACCATGCTCAAAGTCAAAAGTGGTAGCAAGGGAAACAACCGATTACAGCTTCTGAATTTAGCCCCCAGAAACAGTCAAAATAATGGGCCTCGAATAGGCAAACGTTGATCTGGGGGGGGAACATAGGGAGTTTCACTGCAAACTCACTTCCGGAGTGGGTTGCCCAAACAAGTCCAAACAGTTTGATTTACCATTAAACTAGTCTTCCCAAAAAGTTTAAAGTCCAGAAACTGAAGGAGCAAACTAACTGCAGTGTTAACCTTCAAGGTGCACATATATGGCAGAAATGGTTGCCCTTTGAAGCCAGCCAAAAGAAGGCTCTCTTCTTGGGTTTCCAAAAATAGGAGAGCCCTTGTTGGTTGCTTGGGGCGTTTGATTGGGGTCTGGCAACATTAAACAATGACCCATGCATTTGTGGTTTCAATTCGTGTAAATTGAACCATATGGTTGCTATTTAGCGCCCTCTTTAGCGCCTAAAAGGGAGAGATTAAAGGTTGATACCGCGGTCATTTGGCCCTGCGCAAGGTTCATGTGCTGATTTAGCCCTGAAAGCAAATCTCCCATCGCTCAAGGTTCCAAAAGACAAGATCTTAGCAGTCCGGACCATGTTCCAATGTCCCCTGTCCAGCAGAGAAGCATGAAAACTGCCTCCCCTTCAAATTTCACTAAAGCAAACTCACTTCGAAGTGGCAAGCAACAAGTAACGTTTAGCAGCACGCACGAAGAACATCTAGTGACCCGAGCAAATGGAAGATCTAGCAAACGAGTTTACAAACCGTGATCTCGCCTTCAAGTTACCCCTGTCAGTGCTTGCTGGGTACTATTTGAGTACTCTGACTCCGTTGATATCGCCCAGGGTGAATCCACAAATCTACTGGTACCTTCCCCATTCTTTCCAGAGATCTTTCTTTCCAGGAAACCATCAAAAACCCAGGAAAACACCTGGTTTTCGATAAGACTAATGGAAAAGGAATCACCATAGGTGGCCAAGTGGAAAAATAGATGGCCCTGGTAAATGGAATAAACCCCATCTAAACCAGGGCCCTCTATTTTTTGAAGCAAACTAACCAAAAAGGACACCTATGGGAATCACCTCCTAGAACAAAAGGACTCCGCAGAAAACTACCCTGGAGAAGAAATGGAACCGCTCCTAGGCTGCTCTCTTCAGATCAACTAGATCCTCCACTAGAGAGGTTAGAATAAGGGTACCCATTTTCTCTGTAGTTTCTTTTAGTAGGGGAGCCCTCCCCCCAAAAAGAAACGGTAAAAGTTGGCACCACTGGCGGTCCTAGTGAACTGTTCTCCCCAACATCCTACTGGTTCTTCAGAGCCCCATTAACGTTAACTGGGTTGTCCAGCCCCTTCTAAAAACATATATTTTAGTGGGCTAAACGGAAACTCGCCATTCAAAGCTGAAAGCCCAAATGACGTAGAGCTTTTGACATCCAAACTAGGGCTGATTGTTCGGGCCCCCCTACCCGCCAGAGGCGTTGGATCATAACCCTTCGACCAGAACCCTCAATCAGAATCCCAGCGATCTTTGGGTTGTAGGGTGCATGGGGTAGGTGTTTTTTCGCTTTCTCGCGACCAACTCGAAAAGGGTACCGAGCCTCAAAACACACACGAATCCCTACAACGGGGTAACCATAGCAAGGAAATAAAACCGCTTCACGGGAAATAAAACCAAGGAGCAGCCGGTACAATGAAAAGGCATTAAGGAGATAGGCAGATCCAGCAAGGAAATAAACAAAACAAACATGAGAAGTAAAAAGACACGTGACCGGACGGGTCGCAGACTGAACGGACCGCGGACCGGACCGCGGACCGGACGGACCGCGGACCGGGCGCACCGCAGACGGACCAACCGCGGACCGGACGGACCGCGGACCGGACGGACCACGGACCGGGCGCGACCGGACGGACGGACCGGACGGACCGGACGGACCAGACGGACCGGACGGACCGGACGGACCGCGGACCGGACGGACCCCGGACCGGCCGGACCCCGGACGGACCGCGGACCGGACAGACCCCGGACCGAACAGAACAGACCCCGGACCGGACGGGCCGGACGGACTGGACGGGCCGGACGGACCGGACGGACCGCGGACCGGACAGACGGACAGACCAGACCGGATCCCTTCAATATGTTTTTTTTTTTTTTGTGTTTTGTTTGTTTAATAATAAAAACAAAAAACGAAATGAAAAAAACACGGCCGAGACCGGGCGGGCCGGACGACAGACCGGACAGACCGGACGGACGGACCGGACCGGACGGACGGCAGCCCCCCCCATGATGTTCGAAGAAGTGATGTTTCAGCAAAGGGTGCCCCCCTCCAGAGTGCTGCGCCTGTCACGCAGATTGAGCCCCCGGGCCGCACGCTCGACAACATCAAGTCCCTTTAGACAGCTGCCATATGTTGCCCCTGCCACGCAAACACACCCAGATGCAGAAAATGCTGCGCCTGCCACGAAATCTACGCACCATCCGAAGAAGTGATGATTCAACAAAGTGTGCGTTGATTTCTTGGCAAACATGCTAAAAGCCAGCGGGGGGGTTGGGGGGGGCGGCAGCCCCCCCATGATGTTCGAAGAAGTAATGACGCAAGAACGGGTGCCTTGTTCTCTGCAAACATTCTAAAATCCAGCGGGGGGGTTGGGGGGGGGGGCGGCAGCCCCCCCCATCATGTTCGAAGAAGTGATGCTTCAGCAAAGGGTGCCTTACCACGATGATCGAAGAAGTGATGTTTCAGCAAAGGGTGCCTTAATGTTCGAAGAAGAAATGATGCAAGAAGGGGTGCCTTATTCTCTGGGAAGATTCTAAAATCCAGCAGGGGGGTTGGGGGGGGGGGGCTGCCCCCCCATGATGTTCCAGTAATTGATGTTTCAACAAAGGCTGCCTTACCATGATGTTCGAACAAGTGATGCTTCAGCAAAGGGTGCCTTAATCTCTGCAAACATTCTAGAAGCAGCGGTGGGGGTGGGGGGGGGTTCGAAGAAGTAATGATGCAAGAAGGGGTGCCTTAATCTCTGCAAACATTCTAAAAGCCAGCGGGGGGTAGGGGGGGATGATGTTCGATGAAGTGATGATTCCTAAGGGTTGGGGGAGGGGGCCGGCATGATGTTCGAAGAAGTGATGATTCAGCAAAGGGTGCCTGAATCTTTGTAATCAGTGTAAAAAGCAACCGGGGGGGAGGGTTTGGGGGGCCATCATGTTCGAAGAAGTGACGGTTCAATAAAGGGTGCCTTAATATCTGCATACGTTCCAAAAACCAGCGGGGGGGTTGGGGAGAAGGCAGGCGCACCCCCCAATTATGTCCGAGGAAGTTATGATTCACCAAAGGGTGTCTTACTCTCCTTGCAAATATTTACATGTATGTATGTTTGATGTATGTATGCATGCATGTATGTGTGTGTGTAGGTGTATGTAATGTATTGTAATGTAATGTGTAACGCAATGCAATGCATTGCGTGCATGTATGTATGCAGGTAGGTATGTATGTATGTATGTATGTATGTATGTAATGTATGTATGTATGTATGTATGTGTGTGTGTATGTATGTATGTATGTATGTATGTATGTATGTATGTATGTATGTATGTATGTATGTATGTATGTATGTATGTATGTATGTGTGTGTGTGTGTGTATGTATGTATGTATGTATGTATGTATGTATGTATGCATGGAATGACTGAATGAATGAATGAATGACTGAATGACTGAATGAATGAATGAATGAATGAATGGATGAATGAATGAATGAATGAATGAATGAGTGAATTAATGAATGAATGAATGAATGAGTGAATGGATGAATGAATGCATGCATGAATAAATGAATGAATGCATAAATTAATGAATGAATGAATGTATGAATGCATGTATGTAATTATGTATGTATGTATGTATGTATGTGTATGTGTATGTGTCTGTATGTGTATGTGTCTGTATGTGTGTATTTATATGTGTGTATGTACGTGTATGTATGTATGTATGTATGTATGTATGTATGTATGCATACATGCATGTATTTATGTATTCTATGTCTGTGTGTATGTATGTATTCTATGTCTGTGTGTATGTATGTATGTATGTATGTATGTATGTATGTATGTATGTATGTATGTATGTATGTATCTATGTATGTATGTACGTACGTACGTACGTATGTATGTATTTCTGTATGTATGGATGTGTGTATGCATGTGTGTATGTATGTATGTATGCATGTTTGTATGCATGCATGTATGTATGTAGGTAGGTATGTAGGTAGGTATGTAGGTAGGTGGTATGTCACGTTACGATTCTATGTGTGTACGTATGTATGTAGGTAGGCAGGTATGTAGGTAGGTATGTAGGTAGGTGGTATGTAACGTTACGATTCTATGTGTGTACGTATGTATGTAGGTAGGCAGGTATGTAGGTAGCTAGGTATGCATATATGTATGTACGTACCATAAAAATGAAAAACCTAATAACTAAAAAACACAAAAGACACGGCCTATCCATTTATTTCTGCGCGCGTGTTTGTTGATGACTAGGATTGACTAGGTCACTCAGCTTTGTAAGCCCCGCACGGACCAGACCGACCGGACGGACCGTGGACCGGACAGGACCGGACTGGATCCAGCTAGAAAATAAACCTAGTTCTTTGTGTTGTGTGTTTTATTTTCTTGCGCAATCCATTTAATTCTGCGCGCGTGTTTGTTGATGACTAGGTCACTCGGAATGGTAAGCATTAATTACTAGGTCGTTTGGCTGAAGTGATTGTGCGGGCTTGCTTATCTTTTTGCAGGTGCGTTTTATTTTCCTGCATGTTCTGCATATTTTTGCGCACGCATTTGCTTATTTCTGACCTTATTGTTTTTTTATTTCCCCGCGAGCTCTTTTATTTCCTCGCGGCATGTCCCCCCCCTACAACTTTTGACACACCCGATTGAACATTTCCCTGTACAGTAGGCACCGCCATGTAAACACCCTTTCTCAACCTGGCGTAGGGTTACCTCTGGCGAACCATCCTTTGGGATACCTGGAGTTTCCATGACCCTTTAAAAATGTGTCCATGACCCCTTTAATTTGTTTATTTTGGGTAACGACCCCATTTTTGAAGGGTCATGGAGACTCCAGGTGGACACGAGCGCCGATGCTCAACGTTAAGCGACTCGTTCTTTCGGCTGCCTTCTCTTGGGACAGCTCCAGCTCCTGCCAATCACTGCCGCTGGTTCGTGGTAAATGAGGTTTTGTTCCTGACCTACTGTGGATGGACGAAATCCATTTCGCACCACCTAAGAAGCTCTGAAATGGTCTGATTCCCTCTAAATACCAACAAACGGTGGTTTCAACCATGGGTTCTTAGGTGGTGCAGGATTTCGTCCATCCACAGTACTACTTGATTAACTTCGTTCGTTGATCCCAAAGTCTGCAACGCAACTCGACCGGGAGGAAACAAATGGTGGTTTACTGTTGTTTTCTGTTTGGACCAAGGTGAAAACGGCACCCTCAAAAGTTACTAAAGTCCGAAACGGAAATCAGGGACTAAGCAAACTGCGGTTTCCTTTTATCTTTTTTTTAAACCAAGGTGAAAACGGCAAACCCCCCCCCCAAAAAATGCGCAGTGGCGGCGTCCTTTTGGTTTCTGTTCAATTCAAGGTGAGAACGGCAAATCCACAAGAACTACGCAGAATCTGTGAGAACATGTGCTCACGCTCTGAGAGTCTGAGCCGCAACTGCTGAAAAAACTGTCGAGTGGAGATTGGAGATTGTTTGTTGTGTAGCCTGAAAGCGGGAATCGGTTGTCTAGGGACGAAACCACTTCAAAGGACAAGGGCCCGTACCAACTCCCAAAAAAGGCACGCCCAAATTCCCAAAACAATCTGCCCATCTCCAAGTGGGGATCCGAATATCTTTGCAGGAAAACATCAAAACCCGCAGGGATTTAAGCTGGTTGTTGAAAAGAAGAATGGTTGAAAGAAATGGTTGGCATCAAGCGGCAACCCCTAGGAAAGCTGAAACCTTCCGATTGGATCCCCAAGGACCCTGGGATCTTTCGGTGAGGGGTTTCCCTTGGAGCCAAGGCGGTCCTTGGAGAGCTGCAGATACTTCTCTTTGAGCTGCTCGGAACCTCTGCCGGAACCAGCGAATACCCCCCCAAACGGCTAGGGAGCGAAATGTTGGGGCCCCCAATTCCACTTCTCTCTTGTCTTCCCCATTAAAAAAAAAAACAAAAGGAAAACGGCTTCCCTTTTTGAAGGGGGTGGGGATCTTATTCGACATAGCTGATGAACAAAGACCTGCCCACCTGGGGATGTACACGTGATCCCGGAGTCTCCCTAAGGACGCTTTAAAGATGGGTCCATGACCCTTTCATTTTGGGTAGTGACCAACCATTTTTAAAGAGTCCTTAGGGAGACTCCAGGATTGATCAGTTCCAAGTTGAGAGGCTGAAACAAGCTGACAGAGCCCCCGGGAGCCCAAGCAAGATCCGAAAGGCTGAAACCCGAGAAAACGAGGCCCCGAAGATCGACCTGGAGTCTCCCTAAGGACCCTTAAAAAATGGGTTGGTTACCCAAAAGAATGGTTGGTCGTTGACCCATTTTTATTTCGGGTCAGAAGGAGACTCCAGGTAGAGAGGCTCGAATAAGTTGGCACCAACTTTTTCTTCTTTTTTGTCTATGGTAGGGGAACCCTCCCCCGAGAAAGGGCACTGGGGGACCTAGCAAAGATCCGGACCTTTGACATGTCAAGGGGGTGAAATTGGCGGAAGCTACTCTTCACCCCAGTGCAATGAGCTCCCACTATAGTAGGCAACTAGAGGAGAAGCATACCTGGTCTCCTGCCCATTTTTCCGCAACTGGAAGCGCTGGGCAAGATTGCGGATATTAAAACTCAAGTACGCCACTGAAAGTCTTGAAGCAAGCACTTGGGGTTCACAACCGCCTACCATCAGCAGCCTGCCAAGAGCTCCCCGGCAAGGATCCGGAAAGAATCCGGAACGAACGCCGAAAGGACCCGGGAAGAAATCCGGTACCTGGAGTCTCCATGACCGTCCATGACCCTTTAAAAATGGCGTCATTACCCAACATAAAGGGGTCATGGACCCATTTTTAAAGGGTCATGGAGACATTGTGTTTTTGTTGCTTGACCTTAACTGGGAACCCTTCCCCCCCAAAAAAAGGGGGAAAAGGGTTCCACTGGGCAACTGGGTATGGTGGCCTGCGAAGCTGCCGGATCCGAAGATTGCTTTGTTGCTTGAGGATAAGTAAGGAAGGCTTCGCACACAGAAAAAAATATATCAAAGGAAACCGTCCACGAGCAGTCCAGGAAGAGTGAACCTGCAAGACGGAAGATCAGGTTTGGGCCAAGCCTGTATAATTTGAAGGCCTGAATGGATCCGGTCATTTCAGAGCTTCCATTTGCTTAAGCCCCCTGGAAAAACTACAAAAAAAAACAACAGTAGTGATAGATTCCCTTTCAAACCTACAAGAGAATAAAAAAAACATATCTTTGAACAAATGGAAGAGAGGGACTTTTCAAGGCGAACAAAAAGTCTAGGATCAACTCATCCGGAGACTTCCGGATCGGAGGAACCTGCCAGGCAAGAAAAGATGATAGCTGTGTGCGACACCGTCCTCCCAGTGGAATGTGCCATAAGTTCGTGGGAAACAACCTGGGGCCATGTGGGTGTGGCTCAAAATTAAACAGATGGGGTTACGCAGGTTTTGGTCCATGTTTCCACTTACCAGGGTTGAATTTGGATCCGGTTTTTTTAGCCACAGCCATGTGGCCTTTGATTGAAGCACCAGGTAATTATCTCAGAATTCGAATCGCCCTCTATTCAACCAAGCCAACCAAAAAGGACACCTATGCCAGGGGCCATTCGATTCCCCCAAATCAAAAGTTGCATGTTCCTGGTTGATTCCTTTTGAGACAGAAATGGGATGGGCGGGCTGTCTGGACAGCTATACCGCGGACCTTGTCGAAAAGAAAAAGGTTCTTGGGAGGGTTCCGGCAAACGTGATCTTCGGAGGGTTCCTCGAAGCGCGAACTCGACAAGTATCAAAACGATTCCGCAGAGCCGTAAGTCGAAGTTCCGAGTCAATTCCTGAAGTCACACGCAGTCTTTGCCTAACTCGCGAAAAACACTTTGTCGAAGTTTCGCGGCGCCGGAAATCCAGACCCGCGCCCCCCCCGAAACCTTCTGAGAATTCCTATTGGGTTCCCCCAGATCGAAAGTGTTCCTGGTTGATTCCTTTGAATTTGCCTGGAGATTCAAACGTCAAGGAATTCCTAGTCATTCTCGGCATTGACCCTGTTTTGGACGCAAACGCCCGCAAATTACCGCAAACAGGAAACGAGGTGCCTTTGTTTGTGGAATTCAATTCCTAGAAAAGGGAACCCCTGCCGTAAGTCTCATCCCGGGTCACCCGGGCCGCTAATGGTCTCCAGCGAAGCTGTGAGCTCCAAGCCCTGTCTCCTGACCACGTTGGTCGTGCTCAAGCGTTTTCTGTACCAAACCCCCCACTGCCCCCTACTGTGGATGGACGAAATCCGTTTCGCACCACCTAAGAAACCCTGAAAAACCTGGTTTCATGGTATTTACAGGAGAAAGTGGTGCAGGAGTTCGTCCATCCGCAGTATGTTGTACTTGCTGGTGCTCAGTAGGGAATGAAACCTGGGGGTCCCCTTGAAGGAAACCACCAGTGGGATGGTTCATAGGGGTCATTCCCTCATTCCCTACCGAGCACCAGCAAACTTACCAGTTAGGTATGGCTCAAATGACAGGTTTGAGTCCTTTCCATTTAGTAAGGTGCCCTTTTGGGGATTCCATGTTCTAAGCCACAGCCAGTGGTTCCTTTGTCATACTCTTTTAATACTCCGTTGCTATCCTGTGGATCCACAAAACCCGCATCCAAAACGTTTCCTAGAATGGCCCCATCTCCAAAGAAACCGAATGCATATGCGTGTATCGAAAAATAGGATATGGCCCATATGGCCCCCCCGCAAAATGGGTGGGTTCCTGTTGGTTTCCCTTGACCACCTTCCACACAGGAGCACACTCAAACATAAATAAGGCTCATAGCTTCTCGTCTGGGTTTTGGCCTTGGTTTTCTTCATAGGAACCTTGACATGGGGGTACGGTGGACATGGGGGACCCCGAAAATCTACCACAAAAACGGAGGACTTTCTAAATCTCATGTCCACTAGGGCAACTCCATCTTTTTACCGTGGCTCATATCCATCCTTCGCCCCCAAATTTCGACTACTCCCCTTCGGAGATGGTGCCCGTGCACCAAGACTTGGTTGGTAGGGTAATGACTCTGCTAAGGGGATCCCTTGGTGCACCATGGAGATGCCTTACACAACCCAAAGGGCGACCAGCAGGGATCCTGCTCTGCAAATGTTTGTTTTAGAGGGTATTTAAGTCCTATATGGAAAACATAATAATGCTTCCAGTAGTGATAGATGCCCTTTGAAACCAACAGGGGAAATCCCAAGCCTGGGTGTCATGGAAAATAGATGGCCCTGAACGGAATGAAACCAAGCTAAACCAGTGCCATCTATAGGCAGACTAATCTAAGGACACCTGTGATTCCAGGTGTCCCAGACCCGGGTCCCCAATACATCCAGTGGGGTTTTCCTCCATCTGGAAACTCACTGTGACGCACCGGGCTCAAAGAAACAAACCAAGCCACCTTCCTCCCCCCAGAAAAAAGAATAAAAATCCCCCCGCCCGAAAACCCCCCCCAAACCCCCCCAAACCCCCCAACACCCCAGAAGCCCAGAAGCCCAAGTCCCAAAAACCCCAAATCCCCGCCCCCCGCAGACTGCGCGGCCTGGCGAGTTGCATGACGTCGCCCTGGAAGACCAGGAAGCTCCGAGCCTACGACGCTTGGCTTCGCAGTTCAGCTGAGAAGGGAACTTTCATAGAGGGAACGGCCTGGAAAAGTGGCTGGTGGACATACATCCCTCAAACAAATGGATTTGTTTTTTTGTTTTTTTTGGGGGGGGGGGGTGGTTTGGTTGGTTTTCTGATATGTCCAAAGGGCCACCTTTTTGAAAGTTCATACAGTACCCGACATAGGTTTAAAGTGTGTGAGGGAAAGCCACGGCACCATGCTTCAGGGCGCCTCATTGTTTGGGCGTTGATTCAACCGGCCCCAGCCCTCCAAAGGAAAAAAAATGCAATCCACTGAAGGTCTGGGACAAGGGCTCAAATAATCAGAACGGGATGGTGGGAGGCATTAAAGTCAGATTAAATAAAGCTCATAAAACAATGCGTGTAGGCCCTTATATTGCTTGGGTGAGCTTCTTCAAGGGTGTTGGTACCATCAAGGTTGCCGATCGAGAGAAGCTCGGTCTCTGTGAAGAAGTCTTGCAAGCGGCTTCGAAAAGCCACACTTGTCATCCTTCTTCTGGCGGATGTTTTCTTCTAATTGATCGCCTGGCCTTGTAATTCCCGTCGAACCCTCTCTCCCAGAACCTGTCTAGCGCCACACGCTAGAAACCTAATCCCCACAATGGCACCCTCGCAAAAAAACAGGAAAAAATGCGTATTTAGTTCAGCTCAGGATTCTGTATGGTGGCTATCACAACGGTTGGCAACTGGTCACAAATCGCTGTAAAGTTCGGATCAATTCGGACCCTACTCACAACCACCTAAAATGGATGACTCCTTGAAGGGCATTCAGCCCTTCACATTTGGGTTTGTCTATTTTTTTTCGGCATCCCTTTTCATGGGCGGCTTCCACTACTGTCCCTTTCAAACCAACCCGAAAAGGGGTACACCAAAGAAAGACAGACCCATGGTCCGGATTTATCCGAAGTTCGCATTGGTTGTGGCACAACCTCCTTGCTTCCCCTTTCAGGCCCCAGGCCAGGCTTGGGCAGGCCAAATGTTTGAACGTTGCGGGCGCTCGAAACGTTGAAGCAAACGGAAGTCGAGGTTTCAACGAAAAAGCTGAGGCGGATTGATTAAACACCCACAACATGTTTAAACGGGTGGAATGTTTAAACCAATTGAATATGTTTAAACGTCCGCGAACGTTTGAGAACGCAGGGTGTGTTCAAAAACTCAGCTGTGCCTGCTAAAGTTCACCCACACACGCAGAAACAACTCCTTTGCATAGTTTCCATCAAACTGTCAAAGGCAGGCTGGCAAAGCACACCCCAATGTCTTTAAACCTAGGGGCTGCTTAAACACACATGAGCCGTTTAAACACTCAACAGGGGGCTGTTTATACATCCAGGAGCCGTTCAAACACCCCAGAAAGCCTTCAAACCATATAAACGCCCCAAAGCAGTTTAAACATGGAGGGGCCCCTTGTAAACAATCAGGAGAGCTGTACACACATTCTCACGCGCCGCTTAACCCCACCTAAAACGCAGGTGGCCAGAAAGCAACATGTTGAAACATGAGGGGCTGTTTCAACACCCAGGAGCCGTTTTCAGCAGTCCAGGGCTCTCTGAACACCCCGAAGTCTCGCAAGCCCCCCCTCCCCCCGCCCCCCGGCGGGGAAAACCCAGGTAGGTGGCCGGAAGCCGTTTGCACACAAGCTGTTTAAACATGGGGCTGTTTGAACACCCAGCAGCCTCGAAATGCTGAAACGCCCACAAGTGTTTAAACATGCAGGGCCGGCCGAGCCCTGCTTAAACCCGTCCATGAAAAGCTGCAACGTCAGTCTCACCGTGTTTACCTGGAGTCTCCATGGCCCGAAATAAAAATGGGTCAACAACCAACCATTTTTTAAGGGTAATGACCAACCATTTTTTAAGGGTCAGAGGGAGACTCCAGGTAAACGTGTTTCAACGCTTGAAACGCTCAACACGTTTCGCCCGCGCCCCAGGCCTCCCTCGAGTCCGAACCAATGTCTCGGTTTCAAACCAACCCGAAAAGGGGGACACACAAAAAAAACCACCCGGACCCGCAAAATTTCCCTTAAAACTGGGATATCACCCCATAATTTTGGGGGGTCAAGCCCATTTTTAGGGGTAGTTTGAGGGTCCAGGCAGACCCATATATGGTCCAGCTTCCCCTTTAAAGGCCCTGGGTCCTCAAGCCGTCGCATCCCACGGATTCGACATCTCGTCCGTCGAGAGCCCGCGCCCGGACGAAGATGTTCTCCTTCGCCAGGAGCTGGATGTACTCCTCGTAGCCTTCGGCGTCACAGAAGCCCTTCGCTGATCAAAAAGTCACGCCCAGCGAAGTGTGTGTGTGTGTGTGTGTGCTTGTTGTGCTTGTTGTGCTTGTTGTGCTTGTTGTGCTTGTTGTGCGTGTTGTGCGTGTTGTGCTTGTTGTGCTTGTTGTGCTTGTTGTGCTTGTTGTGCTTGTTGTGCTTGTTGTGCTTGTTGTGCTTGTTGTGTTTGTGTGTGTGTGCTTGGTCTTGGTGTTTGCGCCTGTGATTGTTTCTCTTTGTCTTAGTGTGTGTGTGTGTGCTTGTGTTTATGTTGGTGTTTCTGTTCGTGCTTGTGTGTTCTTGAGGATCGGTACCCTTTTCAAGGCTGGTTTAGACGAGACAGAACGGAACCCTACTGCCAAACAACATGCCCAACGTTTGGAGGACTCCGGGGTTGACCGTGCTTTTTTAAATCCTGGACACCAGGGTAAAGGGTTGTCTACTCAGCTTCTTTGGTGGTTTGGTCACCGCAAACACCAGCTTCCTTCACATCGGTTTGGTGGTTGGTAGGTGTGGAGGGTGGTTTGCTATTTACCCACAAGAACCAGGGGTTGAAATCCACAAAACACCTCAATGCAAACCATCAGTTAAGGGTTGCCCGATCAGGTTTGGCGCACATCGGGTACACCCACATTAAGATGTTCAGAATATGGTCCAGATTTCATTTTCCACATAACATTCAATCTTGGTCAAACATCAGCCCGAAAGACAACTCAGCGGTCATAAAAAAAAAAGAAAATAAGATGTTCAATCCGGGTGGTTCCATAGTGTGGATGGACGAAATCCTGCACCACCTAAGAAACCCTCGAATAATATGATCCCCTGACCAACAAACGTTATGGTTTCAACCATGGTGTCTTGGGTGGTGCGAAATGGATTTCGTCCATCCACAGTAGGTGAATGACTGGGTCACAACGGGTCGAACCTTCCTTCGTTCTTTTACCATTGGCCATGCTCGTTTCACTTTGTGACTCGCAGCGCAGCTGGGTCTTTGGCACCCCGGCGCAAAGTGAGACTTGCTGCAGGGGTCATAAAATGTTCGCTTTCAAGATCTTGGAAGCCCAGTAGATGCCTTAATATATTGCAAGTGTAGAACAAGGGATGTCTTCAAGTCTATTGCAATGTGTTGAGGTCTTGTTGGATGCATTTAATCCAGTTGCACTACTAGACAATTCGCTGCATTTGTGTCTCGTGGGATTGGGGGGGGAGCGGCCCCCGAAAGGCCCAACGTTCCGAATGACCATTGGATTGGCTGAGCGGCCGTGTTCCCCAAACCGACTTCCTGGCAGCCAATGGCCCGAATCACAATGTGTGTTTTGTAAAAGAAAGACCCAACAATGGCTGACAAAACGCTTGCTCGCCATGCTTGACAGCCGTAGGTGTGCCTCAGGATTTGGATGCCCCGATTTTCGCCCCCATTTCACCTTACCTGTCCAAACAGCCAGAAAATGGTCATCCTCATGTATCCTCAAAACGAAAGAGTTGCCAATACCCAGTGCTCCCAGCCAGTTAACCAGGCATATTTACCTCCAGATTTTCACTTGATGGCTTCCCTTGGTGGCCTATTGCTCACTTCCTGAGTTGGCTGCCCAAAAAAGGTCGACATGTTGTGTTTACCACCAAAACGGTCTTCCCATCCAAGAAGTCAGGGAGTGAGGCCTTCCTTTTGGTGTAGACCCTTGTCTACTTCCATGAAACATGGTTCATTGATCCAATCCCTTGCAAGCTAAACCTTTCCGGAACATGTCGAAAGCAGACGCTAGAAGTCTGAAAGTCTGCGTGTATGGCTGGGACCCGCCGCCGAGGATTGGACAGAGGCCAGATGTTGCTTTCGAAGAAGCTTCATATTTGTTTGTTCTCCACAGGTGAGTTGGAAGCCTTTCTGAGAGGGGCAGCTCATCCTCCTGCTGCAGTAGAAACTCACTTTGCAATCGTTCTTTGCTTTCCTCTTGAGGAACCCTCTCCATCATAAGCCCTACAGGGATAGGAGTTTGTTTGTGTGTGGCATTTTGTGCCCCATCTGGTACCCTCTCTCCCACTAACATGGCACGTGCCAGGGCGTCCAAGAGGAAACTGTTCTTCCAAGTAGCCTCCCTCAGGTGCCGTGTTAGTGGGAGGAAGGGTAGTGTTTGGTTCCCTGAAACACCACTCCAAAACTCGGCTGCCCTCAGATCCCCTGCTAAAAGTGAATAACTTTTAGTGGGTCAAATTCGGACACCCATCCACTGAACACTAAAAGTCTAAGAGGCTAAGGAACCGGATGGCTGGGAGCCACCAAGAAAAAGGGGCACACACTCAATACGCAGTTGATTGAAAGCAGCTAGCTGGGTGCGGCACCTAAGTTGACCATCTTCTCCTTGGAGCGATCGGAGTCATGATGGTGCAATCATAGCCCCCCCCGTAGAGTCAAACCTGTTTATAGAGAGATAAATTGTGGGTCCGCCAAGCCAAAATACATCCATCCCATGTTGGTTTCCGCTAAACCGTGCGTGATATTTAGTTGCCTGGCCCTCCCGCCCTTACCCTTGAAAAGGCCCTGAGAACCTTTCTATTCATGGGGGATCTGTGTTTTCTCGATGGGCAACTCAGGTTTCAAAGGCTCTGTGCATAAGTTCCCCTAAAGAAACCTTGAGGGAATCGACGTTGGGATCAATATGGGTGGGGGTCAAACTAGCGTAACAGGAGGCGTTCGGAAGATTGCTTTCCTTTTTTTTGCAAAAGCCCCGTGTCCATTTCCATGACTGGAGGGTAGCGCACGTTAGGAATGTGGCTTCTCTTCCTACGACGCCATCATCGCATATCCTGACTTCCTGATGGATTTGTTTAGGCCCTATGGGCCCTCACTCCTGGATGCAAAGGCCTCCTGTGTCATTAAAACTGCCTGACTTGTCCATATGAGGATTGAGAAGTGCTTCAGTGGTCATGGTAGAAAAAGAATTGAAGCCCTTGTTGGGGCCAGGACAGATAACATTGTTTAATGCAGCCACCGGACAAACAGGGACCAAGCATGGTTCCACTGAACAACTAATTACCTCCATTTGCCTAAGTCCCCCCCCCCAAAAAAAAACACTAAAATGTCCATTAGTGATAGATTGTCTTCCAAACCAACCGAGAAAACAACACATACTCTTAAGCAAATGGAAGCATGAAACTAGGTTTGTTTGGGATTCTCAGGCGCCGAAGCGTCGAGCTGCGGGTCTGAGGAAGTCAACAACGCCTTTGATAACGTCTTGCATAGGCGGTCACTGGGACGAATTCTCAAATCGGACATTCAGCATTAACAGGTTTGGCTACCGGTTGTCTAGGTGATTTTAGGGGGAGCCAGACTCTTTTCGGCGAGTTGCACCCGGGTGAATCTCTTGGGTGTAATTGAGATTTATTTACGTGAAAGGTTTGAACAAACCAAGGACCAGTACACCCACTATGACACCTCTACGCCCACAATATAAGAAGAACCTTCTTTTTCCGGGAAAAGGAAAACAGGCATGGTTGTCTCACCAGAAATACGGGGCAATAGTGTCAACTTCGACATGCGGACCATACAAGACCAAACCCAGCCTGCTATTATGGAATTCGACCATTTCTTGGATGTCCTGAAATTGGTCCTCCTTTTGATTCTCCCTCCCACCAAACATGCAAGCACATAGCCGTAACGAAGTCTTTCCACTTTCCTGTTTGGAAGCTGTGCAAGGACACCAAGGCATTAGGCCCGCGGGTTTGGTCGACCAACGAAAAGTAGGTACCTGGAGTCTCCTTCTGACCCTTAAAAAATGGTTGGTCATTACCCAAAATATCGGGGTCGTTGACCCATTTTTAAAGGGTCATGGAGACTCCAGGTAGGCCACCCCATGTCCCCGCCCTCTCCGGGCAGCCCCGACTGTGGACGTGCCATAGCGATAGAAGGCCTCGCCCCGCCGGATCAGCCGGCCTTAGCATGCGCCCTACGCGGATGCTGCCGAGTCATGTCTAGGTCCTCCAGTAGAGAGGTTAGAACAAAGGTACCCTTTTTCTGTAGTCTGTTTTAGTAGGGGAACCCTCCCCCAAAAAAGGATAAAAGGGCGTGACTGGGGGACCTAGATGTTGACCCCGGACTAAGAAACCCCAGTTTACAGTATTAATAGAGGGGGCGCTTTTCCTTGGATTTCGTGTGGATTCATCACCTTTGGAGGGGAACGCCCCCCATATTAATAAGCAGGGGTTTATTCATCCAGGGTCAACATTCACCTGCTGTGGCGAAATAATCCCATTTGAGTCACAATCAAAACCCGGTATTAAAATGGTTGACCCAGAACCATGCTTCAAGAAATAAGAAGGCGGATATCCGCAACTATTTCTGGCTGGGACTGCCCCTTACTAACCTAACCATCTACCCGGGTTTCGATTGTGGCTCATTTGGTTTATGGTATCCACAGCCCGGAACTCTTGGAAGCCTCCCGAAGCCTCCCGGAACCCTTCCTGAAAGCTGCTCATCCGGGCAACAAAAAAAGCTTTCAGCTGCAGGGGAAAAAACAAAACAAAACAAGTATAAAAAAGGGGCCCAAGTGCGTGGGTATTGATGCTTCATTGGGGGACCCTGTCTTTGATATTACTTACATAGGGAGTTTGCCCACCAAACGTTCCTTTGAGGTCCCCGTCGAGATTCATGGCCACATGGCTTTGTCCCCAAGAAGGGTGCGCCTGAGAATGGCAAACATGCTTTTCAGGGTCTTTCTTGGAGCCATGGTCAGAGACTCCTCATTTGCGACATGGTCATGGTTTAGTTAGATCTGACGGCCAACTTGCATACCCCAAATGGAGATGCTAGTTACACATGGTGTCATACGGGGTACATACCAAAACAACCATCCCTATACAAGGCCCAGAGGTATGTTCAGTTGGGGTACGTATGTTGGCCCTTATAATGGAGATATATTTTTCATGGTGGTCCATAGGTTGGCTAATGAATTCGCAACCAACTGGGATAAACCCATCTACCGCCTGGTTCGAAGTAGACACTATCTATTGTATCTGTTTCTTTCGAACCTCACCTCGTCCAGTTGGGTGTGCTTCTTGCAGGGTACCGTTTTCAACTCGATCTAAAGGGAAACCAACAGGAAAAGCCCTATTTCTCACTTCTTGAGTGGACTTGCCAAAAACAGTCCAAGCTTTTTGTGTAGCACGAAAATGGTCCAAACCCAAAAAGTGACAAAAGCCCAGAGTGGGTTTCCTTTCGGTTTCCCTTTAAACCAACCCCAAAACGGGCACCCTTCAAAAAAAGACAAGCCACCCATTTCCTCTATTTGCTTAAATCCCCTGAAAAGAAAGAGAGAAACAACATTTCCAGTAGTGAAATCGATTCCCTTTAAAACCAACAGGGGAAAATCAAAATGTTCTGAACCAAACGGAAGACTTTGAGTCATATACCCAGCTTCCAAGGCGCCGAAGTGAAGCATACCATGGGTCGATCTGAAGGCCAAAATGACCTGGGGATGCGCCAAGTGATGTGATGTCGAAACCCTACTTGTACTCAGGGTTGGTTGGTTGGTTGGTTGGTTGGTTGGTTGGTTGGTTGGTTGGTTGGTTGGTTGGGTTGGGTTGGTTGGTTGGTTGGTTGGTTGGTTGGTTGGTGGGTTGGTCAAAAAACACCCAAGCTTCAGTTGTCTACCACTAACATGGTCTACACACAAAAGTCTACAGGAAGTGAACCAGCTTGTACGTTTTATTCACTTGGGCTCATGGCCCAAATCCCAGTGCAAGACACCATAAGGTAACCCTTCGCCATGTGCCCAAGGTATCCTGAGATGGAATCACTGGGATTGCGGAGGCCAACTGCCAAACCCAGGGGGATTGCCGGTACACAGCCAAAAATGTGCTCAGGCTCTGCTTAGTCTACCCTAGAATATGAAGCCGTCTTCCAATGGTTTTTATGGGAAAGAAAAGAATCAGCACTCTTTTGTGGTACTTGACTTCAAAGGCCTTCCCTCCCCCCTCCAAAACAAGTTGACTCACTTCATGAGTGGATTGAACCAAGAAAGTAACCAAACTTGTTATTCACAACTACTTCAAATGGTAGCCCCAAACAGTGACTAAAGTTCGAGTTCAACTCCGGGGGTAAGTGGACAAATGATGAGACACAAACTGGCCCCATGATTGTACCATGATCAAAGTCAGCCAAGTCATAAGCTTGCGGGAAACAACCATTCCCAATATACCGTTTCCATATCAGATTATTTGACACCCCCCCCGGAAATTGTTCAAAATAATCGCCGGGCTGTCCTCAGATCCCTCCGAAAAAAGTTGAACTTGTGGGTTCAAATTCGGAAAGAGAGCCACTAAAACGTCAACTAAAAACAACCCAAACAAACAATGGAAGTCTGGAGCCCCAAACGGCAAAGATGGAAATCAGCCTCTGCATAAATCCAAAGCTTTCTCAAAAATTGGAAGCCTGGTTCCAAACCGCTGGTTCCAAACCGGCTGGTCCCAAAAAAGGGGAGGCGCGTTGCAAGCCGTTCCAAGCCGTTTCAAGCGCCTCTGCCGAGCGGGTATTGGACTCCACCGTCTCCTCCTCTCGGCGATAGATCAAGTCCTGGCATAGGTTTGCAGACTTGGAGACCGCCCGGAGTCTCCTTGTGACCCTTTAGAGATGGGTCCATGACCCCTTTACTTTTGGGTACTGACCCCCTTTCTTTAAGGGTCAGAAGGAGACTCCAGGTCCTCCAGTAGAGAGGTTAGAATAAGGGTACCTGTCTTTTTCTGTCTATTTCAGAAGGGGAACCCTCCCCCCCAAAACAAAAGGTAAAAGGGCACTACTGGGGACCTAGCAATGAAATCGAACATCCTATTGGGCCGGCTGTCTGCGCTCGGCCCAGCGGCGCTTTCATTTAAAATGCTTTCCAAAACAATGAAATTGAACGTCCTGTCCAGGCTGCAGGAGTGTATCAACTGCTACGATGGCTTATTCAGACCGAAACTATTCTGAGTCCGAGACACTCAAGTTATGTTGCTTTTGCAATGTTAAGCACAAAGAACCTAAGATCTGATTTGTAAATTCTGGTAAGGGGCCCTTTGGTGGACAGCATCTAGGTGGGGAGTTATGCCCACCAACCACTTTGGAGGTGGTTCCTTCTTCAAATTCCTGGCCATTTTTTTGAAAAATCCCAGCCAGCTCCTTTCGCCGCAATCCAAAATCCAAAAACCCGCGAGCGAGCCAGTCGCTCCTTGAGCCGCTCTCCGCGCAAGACTTTGGTCTTGATGCCCAGGCAGAAGCTGATGGCGTCCTCTGAGTCCCATGTTGTCCAACAAAAACATCCAGGTGCATACCTCGACCCTCAAACTACACCCCCCCAAGAAAAAAAGAAAACAAAAAAACACAAAAAACGGATTTCGCCAACCAGAACTTTGCGTTGCTAGAACCTAGAAAAACATAATACAAAAGAACGAACAGATTTCGCCAGCCAGAACTTTGGGTAGCTAGAACCCATTTTTTAGGGAGGTACCCTGTACTTGCGATCGGTGCGAGAGATGCAGGGAATGAGAAATGGAATGACCGAGAAAACAACAAAAAAAAAAAAACGAGAAAAAACAAACAAATCTCTTTGGATTCCTTTAAGGGAATCTCCAAGATCATTCCCTCATTCCCTGCTGAGCACCGGCAAGTTTACATAGTGGTTACCCTAAAATTCAACCCATTAAAAGAACGGTTGACACAATTTGGATGATAAGACTCCTGAAGGGTAAATCATGGTGGTGAAGTATTGACCCCCTTGGCGTTAGGCGGCGGTAACTCAACCCCAGGGGTTATACAGTGGTTGTGTACCCCATATTTCCCTTGGTGGTGGTTTGGAGGTGGCGGGCATGGAATCCCGCCCAGGTAGTTTGGTCCGGGGGCGTTCCCTAAGGCTCCCTGAGGCTTACCCAACTGCGCACTCCATATCGATCTTTTTCTCGGGGATTAGCAATCAAGCTATCCTCCAAATCAGACACCCCCCTTACCTTGCATCATTTCCAGCATATACGTTGTTCCAACTTAAGCCTAGGTTTGAATTGGAGCAAAGCATACCCCCTTTTTCTGTAACATTTCCTCATTTTGGCGACCGATTGCTTCCAAATGCCGAGAATCCCCGACCAAAGATCCAAGCCTGGGACTCCCTGAAGCGGCCTAAAATTGACAAAAGGGAGACACCTGATACCTCCAATTTGCTGAGAAGTCCCCTGGCGAAAAAAAACCAAAAAAAAACGTATGGTGAAATCGATCCCCTTTAAAACCAACAGGGGAAAATATCAAACATAGTCTTAACCAAATGGAAGGATATCTGTTGGCTAGTACCACCATTCTGCGTTTTCAGCATGTGCCGCATCATCTTTACAAGAGCCTTCAGCCGGCTCCTCTCATCATTCCACCTGCACGTCTTCCACGGCTTGCCACGATAGCAGGTGGACCAACAGGCTGGAGGACATGCCGGTTGATGCCACAATTCCGAACAGCAGGAACCCAGCACGTGTCCACGCCCCAGCTTTGCGAAGGCCGGCGACAGGGGGAAAGCCTTTGGGCGTCCAACCTCGTGGCGTGAACTCGGCACCAGCTCATCTGCATCAAGGTTTGCGGCTGGGTTCAGCCGCCGCAGCTTGCGGCGTTCTTGCAGCCGGCCAGAATGATCATGTGAGTCATAATCAAAACGCGGTACTAAAATGGACTACCCAGAACCATGTAAAGAATTAAGAAGGCGGCCGCAGCTATTTATGGTTGGGTTTGTCCCTTACTAACCTTCATCTACCCTGGTTTTGATTGTGGCTCATGTGTAATGAGCATACCTGGATCGCCACATGCTCTTTACTCCAAAAACAAGCAACAGTGACTGAAAAAACGGCAACTTGGCTATCTAGGTACATTCAAATCCAGGATCGGTTCCCGATGGCTCCACGGGTGATCCGCGTACGGCGTTCAAGGACCATAGTCGCTTCCTCGCTTCCGATTGAGTGGATTGGTCAAAGAAAAGTAAGCAAACTGTTCGTGACCACTAGAATGGTCCAAAGCGACTAAGTCACTTCCTGAGTGGACTTGCCAAAAAAAACTGGAGTCCTCATGACCAATTAAACATGAGTCCATGACCCCCTTATTTTGGGTAATAACCCCACTTTTTAAGGCCAAGACTCCAGGTAGCACTAACATTGTCCAAACCAGAAACTGCCTAGAGTCCGAAACGGAACTCGATGGGAAGTGAGCTAAACTCAGTTGTTCAGTGACCCTGGAAAAAAAACGGGAACCCTTTTTGGGAAAGACAATGTTTAGTGGGGCAGCCATGAAACAAATGGGAAAAAGGGTGCCACTGAACAGGGATGCTTCTACTATACACCTGAACATTGCAACTTGTAAATGGTGGTGTCCAACTTCATTTTGGTGTGGAAAAAGCGTAACATGTTTCAAATGGGTTGCTTAAAATGGCGACATCTTTTTTCAGGCGCCCTGAGCTGAACAGGGAGTGAGCTTCCCCTTTGGGAGCCGTGCCACACATCAGCCGTCGGAAAATGAACAACCCTCCGTCCCTGCAACCGTCCTGATCTTTCGATCTTTTCCCAGCCCTTCCGAAGAAAGCAAAACCCGGACGTGAAAACATAGTTCAACTCCTTCCAAAGTGGACAGAACCCCCCACCTCAGTGTGCAAAGAGTCACCCACCAGTTGACAATTGAAACGAGGATCGCCCACACAGCGATCCGAACAACGCGACAAGCTTCCGCCACAGGAAGCCTTTTGCCCGTGGTCAACAACCAAGAGGTCCCACAGGGCATCCACTCAGACTGGGGTAGCAGTTTTGAAGGCAAACCTCCTCCAAAAGATTGCATAAGAGTTGCTGGAACCTTCTGGAACCGAACCAGAGCCTTTTGGGGCCTACCAACCCCAACACGCGTTCAGCGGGAAACCAGGTGAACAGGAAGCAACTCAAGGTCTGGGCTCAAGGTACCCAAATGTCACCCAGAAGACGTTTGATACGGGGGGGTCTGTTTTGCGGCATCGCACCGGGCCCCCCCAAAAAGGGGAACTTGTTGGCTGCTCCTTTTGGTTTCCCTTTAAAGCCACAAAAAAAGGCACCCTCGACAAAAACGGCACCCACACCCAACTTGAATTCCCCCTTTGAAGCCACAAAGAAAAGGCAAAAGCACACAAGAACACAGGCTCCTTTTGGTGATCCTTTTTTTAAACCACAAAAAACACACACCCACACACACCCAACTTGATGTCCATCCCAGGTGAAGCGGGCCATTCTAACCGAACTTTCTCGCGAATCGATTCGATTCCGGTGGCTTCCTCAAAGATGCGCCTGGGAGGGCACCGAATGCATCGGATGTCCGGCGGTGGATCAACCAGCTATTGTTCTTCTTTGTCCTATATATATATATATGTCCTTCATTCCTATGCATGCATTTTTTTTTTGTTTAATTCGTCATGCATGCATGTATGTTGATGTTTGTGCATCGTTTCACTGTTCATTTGTAGCATGTTGCTCACCTTCTCAATGCGAAGATGTGCCCTAACTCTGCCGGCTTCACTGTCAGGCTCGGCCTCCCCACAAAAAACAACTTGTCACTGAATGATGCTGGATCAACAAACCCATGCTTATTAACAATGGGGTGCTTCTCCCTGGGTTTGGTAAGGATTCACAGCACTTTTGGAAGGGAACACCCCCCAATTAATAAACTAAGGCTGGTTCATCTAGGGTCATTATGCACGTTGCACGTCGGGCGCCCTCAACGAGAGAGCTTCTCTTGTGTCACTTGCGGGAAACCGGACCTTTCAACCAGCTGAGTGGGTATGTCTTCAATAGGGGCACCTCAAACATGCGGCTTTACCTATTGGCTTCCCTTTGTTCGCCACGCGGAAAAGGGAAGCCTGAAAAAAACACACACACAGACACAAACAAGCACCCCTTGCCATGATGCGTGGGAGGGAAGTGGCAGCCTTTCAGGTTGCAGCCTTTTGGGTCGCGAGCGATTCGAGCGGCGAGCGGCGAGTGACGCGCGACTCGCGGAGCGCGGTGCGTCGGTCCATGATGTTGGACTTCCCGGAGCCATTGGGGCCGATGATGCAGGTGAACTTGTCGAAAGGGCCTCCCCCCCGGCGAACGGTTGCACCGAGAGCTAGGGAGCCATAAGCTAAGAGGTGATATATATATATATACACATATACATATACCTATATATATAGTCTATGTCTATGTGTATATATGTCTATGTGTATCACCTTTTGGGACCTTTGCCTCGCGTCCGATGGATAGGGTCGGTCAGAAGAAACAACCACATGTGTTAGATACCGCTCAAATTGTCTACTTGAAGAATTGAAAGTCCAGAAACTCAAGGAGTGAGTTACTACAAACGAGAATTCGAAAGAGGAAGCTAAAAGGTCAGATCCGGTCGATTCGCGTGAGTCAACGCGACAAATTGGGTCATTCCCGGGGATCCAAAACCTTAACTCGTCCGTAGGACGCCCATGGCAAACCCGGGGGGTGTCCCTTAAATCGCCGGGATGCAGACCACTTTTAAGTAACAAAGACGCCCCCAACAAAAACGGGGTCAACATTACAAGGAAGGCCATTGTCATTGATTCGGAACAGCACAGGCATCCCACGGTTCGACAGGTATCGCTACTTCCGCAGAAAGGAACAGCCCACGGGGCTGGGCGGCGTCTGACCTGGGAGCTCAAGAAAGCAGCCCGCAAGTGGCCTGCGGCAGGGTACCCCCCTGGTCAGTCAAACAAATTGATTCTCGAACCCCACATCATGGGGGCTGGGGGGGAGGGAGGGGAGGTGGGAGGGAGCCCAAAGAAGCCCTAAATAAGCCCTTATTAATACCTTATTTGGGGCTTGTTTGGTTCCCCCCTCCCCTCCCTCCCCCCCAGCCCCCATGACCACATGATGAAAACTAATTGACGGTGTGGGGGGACGGTTTGCTGCAGTGCGAGCTACCTCTTTTTGTTTATCCTGCTCGTAAACCAGGGACTGAGCAAGTATGTGTGTGCGTATGTGGCACACAAACCAGGACAAACATACAGCTCAACCATTAAAAAATGTACCTGCCATTCTGGCATGCCATTTTGGCACACGGGGCCCCGTCAGCGGTACTTTTCTCACTTCCGATCGAGTGAATTGGCAAGACAAACCTCCCACTGGTCAAAGCCCGAGTGACTAAAGTCCATGAACCCAGGTAAGTTTCTCACGCCTATCTCATGTCGGCCAGCATAGGACTTGAAGTTCGAGATGATGAGCTTCTCGATGCGTGCCTCGTTCCTGAGCGGCTCGAAGAGGGCAGAGAGCTCACGTGAAGCTCGGGAGAAAGACCAGAAACCGCGGGCAAACATCGGGGGCATCGGCCGGACTTGCGCGACGTAAGGAGTCTAGGTCCTCCAGTAGAGAGGTTAGAATAAGGGTACCAACTTTTTTCTTTTTTGTATATTTTTGTAGGGGAATCATCCCCAAAAACAAGTTGGTAAAAGGGCACTACTGGGGGACCTGGGAGTGTTGGATGGCAACCAAGGGTCCGATCGACTTTGGGCAGAGTTGGTATGAAGAACCCGGGGTCCGAAGCCGTACCACACTCGTTGCTGAAACGGGGTGTCAAAAAGACCTATGTTGGGCCCCAAATTCCATCAGGACCCTTGTAGGGTAATTATCCATTGTTCCTTTTGGCTACCCCAGTTTTGGCTGTCGTCTAACGGCTCGGCGCCTGAATACAAAGGGCAACCGCGCACATTCTATGCAGCCACGCTGCATCGCGCTCAAAGCGCCGAATCAACGCCGCACAGGCAAGCGCATCCTCTCAATCTGACTCGGTCGTGGGGTGGCCTTGCTTTGAGAGCTGCAAGCCAATATGGGTGGGACTTAAACCCTTTCTGGCTAGGCAAGCAAGATTAATCGCCACACCTAGGAAACACAGCTAGCTCATCATCTTACAAACCTCCCAGCTTGGGTGTTCAGATCACAAGATCAGAGCTCAACATCTACAAGCCCTTCTGAGGGGCAGCGGATCCTTGAGGTTGCCTCGGCTGCAAGGTCTTGCTGAAGATCAAGCCTTCTACGGCCTCTTGTTCTGTCCTTAAGCTGAGCCAAACAAAACGATTTCGCGCACCGTGGTAAAACACCAACTTCGACTCCAGATCCCTCCCGGCATCAAACTGGGTGTGTACCTAGAGTCTCCATGTCCAATAGAAAAAGGGGAGTCAAAACCCCATTTTATTTTGGGGTTAAGACCAACCATGTTTAGAGGGTCCAGGTATGTGGCCTTTTTTACCCCTGAAAATGGGCGGCTTTGCTGGGCTTTCCTCGTGGCTTCCCTTTAACACCATCCAACAGGCGCCAACTCCCAAATAAGACGAGCCAACATTGGAGCTCCGGAAGTCCGATTCGCCGATCAGGATGGCAACCAAGGGCCCAGTTTGGATGAGTCACTCCTCGGGTACAAAGAAGGTCCCTCCCACCTAACATGGAAGTGCATAGACCCCGGTAGAAAGGCTGCTTTGCTCTTGCAAAAGGGATTTGTGCACTTCCACGTAGGTGGGAAGGTATATGTTCACCCCCTTGGTTTTAATGAATTCGAAACTCCAAGGTTTGAGGAACATGTGTGTTGATGATAGAGCGGGTCCATTAAAGGACCCTTTGGTACACATGATGACTCAGAGCCTCATGTCCGCCAACCACCTAAGAGCAGTCAAGGTTACCCGAATCTCGAAATTCACTTCCAGTTTCCAGTACAGTACGTAACCAAGGGAAACCATCAGGAAAAAACGTGAGAAGAGATTGCCTGGATATCTACCTGAACGTGGCCTGTCTGAAAGTAATAGTGTGTCTTTTTTGAGGGTAAAACCAAAAGGAAATCCACAATTCGTGAAGCCTCCTAAACAAGTCACACCACCAGCCGGGTCTCAACCTCAACATGTAATATGAGTTCAAAACTTCATGCTTCGTTGACTCCCGAGATGGCCCAAAACAAGTACCCTCCAATTCACATGGAACCTGAAAGGGAAAAAAACGGTTCCTTTTAAAAGGAACATGGTCTTCTACCCCCCGAAACCACCGTCCCAACCCAAGAGGCGCTGAAGAAAGGAACGCGCCCAAGCGAGCTGATCCCTGGCTAAGTCAAAGTTTGGCTCGGCCTTCTCAAAAAATCCAACTCTGAAAGGCGTACAAGTCCAAGCCAATTCTGGCAGAAGAAAGGATGTCATCCCTTCCTTCTCGGCGCACAGGACCTGCCGATTTCTGGGTGAACCTTTCCGGGCCTTGTCCATGCAACAAAAACCCCGCTCGGAGCATCGCTTTCTGTCCATCTATTGTTTTGCTCCTGAGGGAAGCTTTGATCCGCTTCCTCGCCAGAAAGATAGAACACATAAGCGTTCCCCAAAACATACCGTGGATGGTTGCGAAATCCGCTTCGCGCCACTTTGAAGCCATGGGAAAAAAAAGGTTGTTGGTATTTTACGTTGTGGAATCATCAGAAACCAGGGTGTCTGAACGGTGGTGCGAAATGGATTTCGCAACCATCCACACATCCATGCTTCATAGGATCCCCGGCGTCTGTGAGTCAGCCGAATTGATTAATCTGTTACATCCGGCTCTACTCATCCAAATTTTGTGAAAGCCTTAGGGGGGGCCCGTTGCACATCAAGACTGGGCCAAACAGTTTGGTCCGCTGCCTCTTTTGGGGTTGACAAGTTAGGCATGCCTTCTAGGCCACACCATCAACCAGTCCGTTGTTCGGGTGCAACCATAATATTTGTGCAAGAAGGTGGTCTAGATGGGTCTGTTTTTTTTTGGCAGGGTTTCCTTTTCTTGTGGTTTTGAAGGGACACCAAAAGGTGTCCCTACAATTCTTGGGGGTGCCCTCAAAAAGACAAACCCAAATAGGAATACCCTTGGGACCATAGGTGTCCTTTTGTGGAAAATAGATGGCCCTGGTTCTGAAGCAACCTGGTCAACCAGGAATTGCCATAGTTGTTCTACTAGGTCCTCCAGTAGAGAGGTCAGAATAAGGGTACCCTTTCTTCTGTAGTTTATTTTAGTAAGGGAAACCCTCCCAACCAAAAAAGGGGGTAAACGTTGGCGCCTAGCTGTGGGACCTAGTCTATCAAATCAACCAGAAAAAACGCCTCTGCCTGGGACGATGGGATGAAGTTCCAACTCAATCTTCCATTTGCTTAAGTCCCCTGGAAAAAAAGCAATAGTGATAGATTCCCTTTAAAACCAACAGGGGAAAATAAAACTTATTCTTAAGCAAATGGAGGCAATGGTCTCCTTTTCACCTCGCTACGGACGGCTGCATCATTTCGATGCATCGATCTAGATGCCGAAGGCGAAACAACGCACTGACTAGCACACACCACTCAGTTGCCCATTTCGGATCCAGAACACTAGGTTAACATGTTGAGGCCATGACTAAAAATGAACGAAAAGGGGTGCCTGGAGTCTCCACGACGCTTTAAAGATGGTTGGTCATTGCCAAAAAATCAGGGGTTGTGACCCCTTTTTCTAGGGTCATGGAGACTCTAGGTAAAAAGAGTCAAACACTCGGCTTTGGCAATGCGTTATCCTTGGAACTTGGCCGAAGGCAGAAAATCATTCGGCCCCGGGGTCTGAAAAGTTGGCTTCCATGTTGGTGGAAGGCAGCTCTGCTCTCCAGAGTGTGCATGTCTCTCCTTCGGGCAATGCAGTGAAACCATGTGAGACCTGACTTCAGTGCCGAGCGGGTGACAGCTCAGTTTCTGCTTCTTTTGAAAGGAAATGTAATCATATAGAGTCTCCATGACCCCTAGAGAAAGGGGTCACAACCCCTTAACTTGGGGTAATGACCGACCATTTTTAAAGGGTCAGAAGGAGACTGGTAGGGTCTTGGAGACTCCAGGTAGATCTGTGACTTGTGTTTTCTTTTTTGCGAGTTGTCGGTCTTCTTCGCTCGCCTTCTTGGGTGCCCAGTTTTCAATGGATCCGTCGACGGATCAGGGACCAAGTAGTTACGATGCCTCGAATGGTGAGCCATGACTCGTCTACGCGACTTAGATTTGGCGACAGGGGGTTCAAAGGCTGCCCGGCCCATGTTGGCACCGTCTCCTGACGTATACTTCTTGGTTCCGTATCTACCCTGCGGGTTGGTAGTGGAACTAAGGACTCGTACGAACGATATTTGTGTACCACTAGAGAAAAAACATGTCCTGTGTCCTCGTCATACCAAGAGGCGTCGTGGTTGAGGCGGTTCTTTTCTTTTTTTAACTGGCCCCGGCTTCCTGCGAGCCCCGGCTCAGCACAAGGCCGCTGCCATGCAACTCTGAGGCTTGGGTCGGTGGGCCGCATCCCCAGCATCCCCGGCGCATTGATGGCGCTCGGACTAGGGCTGCCAATCGCCTTTGATTTGGTGGCGGTTCAAAGCTGCTGCTGGCTGGTTTCGGGTGAGTGTTGGGCTGAGGTCTTATATCATGAGGGCGGGTCTTAGGTTTGTTTGAGGTTCATTTAGGCTTTGTAAAGGGCTGATATTCGGGATGCTGTTGGGAGGGTTTAAGGTTGACTTTGAGTCGGTTTGGGTTGGCTTGGAGCTGATTTGCGCGAGGTGTGCGGCCCGGTTTTGGCACTAGCCTTTGGGCTGCTTCAGGGCGTGGTTGCGCAAGTATTGGGCTGGTTTGGGTGGTTTGGGGCAACGCCCCACAACAAATCCCAAAGCAGCCCAAAAATTGAATAGCCACGCCCTGAAGCAGCCCAAAGGCTAGTGCCAAAACCGGGCCGCACACCTCGCGCAAATCAGCTCCAAGCCAACCCAAACCGACTCAAAGTCAACCTTAAACCCTCCCAACAGCATCCTGGATATCAGCCCTTTACAAAGCCTAAATGAACCTCAAACAAACCTAAGACCCGCCCTCATGATTTTAAGACCTCAGCCCAAATCAAAGCCAAGAGCCCTCCGAGCAAGGCCGGTGATGCTGGGGATGTTGGGGATGCGGCCGACCGACCGACCGACCCACCAACCAGTGTCCTGGCCGGGGCTAGCCCCGAGCCGGGGCTAGTACAAAAAAAAAAAACACCGGTTTCGGGGTGTCTTCTTCACACAAAAACAACAACAACATAATATTGCCAAAGCACTTGGTGGCTACTACACCCAACTAGTCGAACTTGTCGCGGCTTGGTGGGACAATACACATCTTCCGCGAAACAGGTCACACCAGGGGGGAAGTTGATGGCACAACTTTCGGTAGATGCGGATAAGTAATGTTAACCCCGGATTAATAAACCCCTGGTTGATTAATAGGGGGGTGTCCCACTTTAGTGGGGATTCATCACTTTTGGAGGGAACACCTCCCTAAGAATGGGACGGGTTTATTAATCCTGGGTCAACATTAAAGGGGATGACGAGCGACCAAAATAGGTTGGATTCTGCCATCTACAATCACCCAACTGCAAAGGCTGGTTCCTTTTAATCACCGTGGAAACCAAAAAACATCACTCCAAGAAACATCATTTTAGAATGGCCCAAATTGCCAAGATCTGATAGTTCAAACCAAAGGTCGGTCCTAGGAATGACCAGCTGCCGAAGCCTCCGCTCGCCGGATTTGCAAATTCGCTCGCACTGGTGTTGCTCGAGCGCCTTTTTTTTGCCCGGCCATGGGCCAGTGTGATCTGCAAACTAACCCTGGAATTTGGGAAATGGGAAGGAGCAAACGGTGTTTTTTGGCCCATGAGGGCGGGTCGGGACCTGGAGATAGCTGCCAAATGTGGCACAGGTGTTAGTATAGGGC